GTGGAAGCTTCGCCTTCGAGTTAGGTCTTCTTCAGTGAGCCATCTCCTCGAATCGAGATTGGCTCACTGAGGAGATTCGAGGAGATGGCTCACTGAAGAAGACCTAACTCGAAGGCGAAGCTTCCACGTCGAGACGAATAACAAGCGAGGACCATCGACTCGGATCATCGGCTCTGAGGAAGACGAAGACGTCGAAACGTTAGCCGAAAATAAACATCATTATCAACCTCGTGTAAGTTCATTCTTCTTTGTCGTAATGATTGAAGACCAGCTTGCAAAAGATGGTCTTCCACGAATTCGGGATTAGTTTCTGAATCGCAGTGATATACCAGAGAACAGTCAGTACAACGGTTTCATACGAAGCCAGCGAACCTATCCTGAAAAAATGTGGCGATGGCACACTAGAGTTCTTATTGTCTACCAATCACCTTTAACGCATTTGATAAGATCGTACCCAATATTTCTAATCCGATGTAAGTGGATTTCCTCCTATATATGAAGGGACAACTGGGTCTGCGTGAGCTGATATCAATTCATTTTTTGCAGACGTTTATTTTCCTGTACAAATGCATTTCGTTGTACTTTTTCTATTCAGTCGATAGCTTTTCCAATGGATATTATTGTGCTGGACATAGAACTTAAAAAGCTATTCTGTATAGTTGGTGGTTTTACAACAAACTACCTCATAGACGAGTTCATTTCATTCTTGAGAGACTATTGCCATTTGACAGGGAACAGAGACACTCCTGCTGTATTTCTACTCTCTCTTCGGCATCTGGTGGCACCTTTTCACTAGGAATGGACGGCAAATCATGGAGTAGAGTTGTAAGGGTGGGTAGCAGTACTACTCGTTCCGTCGGCGTTGCCAGAACAGAATGAGTGGTTGTACGAAGACTAGGAGTTCATCAGTGTATTTCCAATCAGCGCCTGACCTCCAACCCTTATTCTCATGACATTCCACTGATAGTGCAAATATCGTAGTGAAAATCTGTAGTTTTAAGAACTCATCAGTTTTCGTAAAATCTACAACCTTCATAACCAAAAACTTCTATAATACGCACTCTTTACGTCTGATTCACATCCATTATAACTTGCAATCTTTACAGTCTGCACATTTTACAATTTACAATCTTCAGAACTCAGAACGTGCATAGCTCGTACTCTTTGTGACAATTCCTGATCCCTTCTAAGTGGAAATATATGTTGTACGTCAAACGTAATTAAATGTAGATGTTGAACTAATTTCTTGAGATTTCCCAGACATCCCGCGTTCACTCCTCCGACTCTGCTGGTCATTCAATTGCCCTCGTCTCACCTGCTGGTGAATGATCCGCTTTTTTGGAATCCCTTCTCTGCTTGAGCTCAGTTTTTTTCTCTAACAGTTTATTAGAGAAGAAGAAACTCATAAGCCAATGACCTATTTGCAAAACTCTGGACCGCAGGTGTCTAAGGTGGGGAACGAACGCGCTATTGTCCTTTCCGGGGAGTAACGCGTTCACCACCACACCATGCGAGTCCTATGGGTCCTATGCCAATTTGCGCTCCCCAGGTCAACCCCGCTAACGGGTGATTGCTGTGGCAAAAAGATCGATAGAAATAGCTGAGAGACAGGCGAAACGAGGGACCCGCATGGTGTAGTGGTGAACGCGTTACTCCCCGGAAAGGACAATAGCGCGTTCGTTCCCCACCATAGACACCTGCGGTGCAGAGTTTTGCAAATATCTCAACAACGTTGTGGTTGTATTTCGCTTAGTAACCTGCCATGAAAATTATAGAAGGCAGAAAACAAAACGTTAGACCAATGACCTATGTTCAAATGTCTTCAGTGGTCCAAGGGTTTCAAAACATATTCAGATCGTAACTTTTGAAATTAATAATCTTTCTTTAATTTGTGGTGACTAAGATGGCTTACCGAATTGTTTACTGTGCCCTTTAGAGCTGGTTTTAAGTTCTCAGAAATAACTTAGTCTTCCAGGTTCCAAAAGACATATATCAGATCTTAGAGGAACAAGGACTAAGCTCTTGGTGTTGATCAATCCCTGAGGGATACGTTATGCATCCGACTTCATTAAGCATCGTTGGAGGTGATTGAATGAAAGGTTGTTCCAAAAGTTTACAAATGTTTCAAAATCGACTACCAAATGCTGACAGCAACGTAGGACACGTCCGTTTTTTTTTCTCGCACAAAACCTAACAATGTTTTAAAGCCATGGGAGAATATACAGAAGAATTTAAAGAATAGGTAGAAGACAAGGAACACCGAAAATACTGGTGAATTTGTAGGAAAAACTGAATTATACAACAAGAAGTACAGCAAAAGATGAGAAAGCAGTTGGTAGGGAGACTGGGTCGACGCGAGTTGGTGTCGACTCATGGCGAGTGCAGCTAAGAATTAGGCGTCCAGTAAATAAAAGCCCTGAACCAAACGGACTGAGGCGTCTTTAACTGTTGCTCAATAACTACCAACGGCCAATTTCGTTTTTCTTGCCTATCTTTTTACAATAAAAATGGGTATGGATGGTTAATGTGAAAGAATCTTACAACGCGATTCTGACCAGTGTGGCTTCAACAGATTTTGCCTGTTAGGTTCAGCCGTCACGTCTTTGTGCATTGTCGTGCAGCCTCAATATACATTTGTTAAGATTTCAGTTCATACTGCTAGGTTCTGTTTGCATTTGACCAGTGTTCAGCTTGTTAATATACGCCGTTCTCGAGCGGTCCGTCGACTATCGCAGGATTTATTACCGTTACAAGGATTCTGGCAGTACTGGACAGCTAGGGGCATAGCAGAAAACCTCTATTTGATCCACTGATCCCGGTGACAACCCATAACATGTGAAAGCCCATCACTCTCGACGAACATCCAACACGCCGAAATTGGAGTATCATCAGATATGAAGGGCAGTGACAGGATACTTGGAGACCGCTTGCCACTATTACATAGCGGCGCAGAATAGTCTCTCGAAACCATGACATTAGTGGTTGCTGCCAGAGACCACATAAGATGCGATGTCATCAACCTTTAAGGGACTAAAAGAAAGAAACCCACCACCTCGGACGTGAATGACAGAAGCTTTGTCACCTTAAGTAGAGATATTTCGTTATCTAATATTTAGAGCCGGACACCTATTTCTCTGTGATCACCCCGCAGTACCAATTTCTGCTCGCCCTTGGTATGAATTGAAATCCGTACACATCGCCCGATCATTCCTCTCGCCATGTGCGAGTCATTTGTGGGATCCTCACTAACAACGACCTTGGTATTAATCCGGCAATATGAAGGGCAGTTCACTACGACAAGAAGCGGAGGCACCATAAAACGCACCTGCTCATCAGTGATCCTCTCTTTATCCACCTTCTTATCCACAGAACAATGTCTATTGCTTGACGGAGAAACTTGTCCGAAAACAGTTTTCCCGTGTAATGTTAACTGTAGTGATGTCCATTCGCAAGCTAAAAGCGTGGTCGGCATTTTTTAACCGCAAGCTTGGCTAACAATAAGCCAGCGGTAGGAATCACTGGCAACAACTTAAATCACTAGCTGGCAAGTGCTTACGTCATGGGATAGCCTCACCACGGTTTTCGAGACTAGGGGGAGTGAAAATTCTGCCCCCAACCCCAGTAAGCCAAATCCGGAGATTAGCTTTTCGTGGTCTATAGCTAGTACATCGGCTCTGCTGAATAAGTAACTAACTTTTTTCTACACGACCCTACATTAGATGTATTGTGCGGACCACAAATATTTTTGTATTGGATTCAATTCGTCGTGCCCACATTCCACGGAAGTATTCGCATTTCCCGTAAGGATAGGCTGCTGCTTCAGAATTTTTCATCCCCTTTGTGAATGTCTTTGAATGCTGGTTAATTCGATTCTCCCTTGAATCATAGCGTAATCGTGCTAGGACCTCATTCACCATCACATTCACATCAGCTTCGTCACATAAAGCGGCAGCTTTCGTGGATCTGAACGAGCTTCGTAGACATGTCGGCTAAGCATTAGTGTGTCATTTAATTCCATCTCTATATTACCCTCGTCCAGGTAGGCGATCGAATGGCAATGCAAAAATCTCTGTGAGTCAAAATAAACGACTCCTCTATGAAGTATGAGTAAATACCAACTTACATTGTTTCAAATGAGAGTCCTCACTGATATACCCGTTACCCAGCGACCATGGTTCTTGGTCTATTCGGGCAGTGTTATTCCCAACAATGGGAGAGGGAGCCCAGCTCCTGTTTGGCGAGTCACTGATGCTATTCTTTTGGCGCGCATGTTATATGCAAATCGACGTTCCCCTCTCAACCGCACGCACCCGTCTACTGAGCTTCCTCGACGGCGATCATCAGCTTTATCCCGAGTACCGTACATTGCCTTAATCCTGTTACTGATGTTCTCTTGCGTTCCTTCTCTTCTCTCCAGCTTATTTGTGACACCTTGTGCCTGATTTTCATTCCTTTCTTATGCTTTTGGATACTAATAACTGGCGGATGTTTGTCGAATACTTCATATGATCCTATATATATATATATATATATATATATTTATATACATATATATATACGAAATTTTTTACAACCTAGGAGAAAAAGACGGAGCCTGTCTAGGTGAAGAAGCCGATCTGAAAGAGAAGATCACCACTGGCTTCGGAACAGAAGCGAAGAAATGGATGCGGTTAGTGACATATCCACCACGGAATCCGTGTGCTCCTCGAACTGCACTGTCGAAAGTGCGTCAGATGTGAATTCTTGCACTTCACAGCCCTCAGACGTTGAAAATCGGTATGTCAAAAGCTTTACTAGTTTTTGATTACAATTCATTCTACTACTTTTTTAAAACTAAACATACATATTCGAAAATGGGTACAGGTGAGTGGCAGGGGCGCGTGTGGCGCCATGGTCAGAAGCACCTTGCATACACATAAGATCGATTCCCGCATCCGAGGCCCATTAAGCCCTTCGTCCCTCTGGGTTGGTACCAGACTTGCCTGGGAGGATAGCAGCACTGGCTCGATACATCGGCAGACTATTGAGAGTCATTGTAAAGGCCAGATACGTATTCAGTCACCTCCAGCGATACTTAATGACGTCAAGTGAATCTCTCAGGGATTGATCTACGCCGATAGCTTTATCCTATTTTCATAATAGGTACGTGGTCTTAACTCTATGATGTTTAAAGATTAGTCCTGATATCTATAATCTTTATGGAGGTATTCACTCACTGGGCTCCTGTCAGTGATAGAATTACTGGAGATACAGGTATCTACGCGTACGTTGCTAATATTCGAATAGTCATGAAATCCATACTTTTTATCCGCCCTCCTTATAAGCGTTTATGCTCAGCAATACGTACAATCTATCACCTTCACTGGAAAGTTGTACTTAAATGAAATTTTTCGCACTTCAGTCCGTTTCCTTGGCCAACGAAAGAAATTTCTGTAGTAGAAGATGTCGATTTCGGTTCTCTTGCGAAGAACTACGGTCCTCCTCTCATCATTTGCTTTTACCGGGACGTCTGTGGGAATCCGGTTACCCGCATCAGTGGTGAGCACTCTTTTAGCAACAGATTCTTCTGAAACTTATTCCAGCTTTACTTCCTAAATGTTTAGAATTTTGTGACGTTCCACTCGGTGAGGCTGTCAGAGCGTTGAATGCTCAACATGAGCACACACAATACATTAACCTACTGGTCAGGTTCGATTCATGTCGTGAAGAGGACATTGCTACTTTTCTTGTAGGTTTGCTTCCGAAATATTTCTGGATATCCTCTTCCGCTTCCTTCCGTCCGGACCTGATTATGTTCCAGCCTGTCCTCAGGTTGCTTCTGTTTCGTTGTCGAATAAATTTCACCATGCCGCAGTGGGAACGTTGCGTTCTTCTTATGACAGATTATAAGTTCGCTAACGAAGTCGTGGAAATTATGGCTGAATTCACTAATAAGTAAGTTACTTTCTTTCTTCCTTGCTTCTTATTTCTTTCCTCACATGCTTTTTGAAACACCAATCGTGGAAATTGGTCTTGATAAGTCTAATAAACTGAAAAAATGGTCCTTTTACTGAAGTGAAAGGACGCGTGCCGCGCAGTGGTCGGAGGCGCCCTGCAACACACACATGGGATCGATCCGCACGCCTTTGGCCTGCCAAGCCTCCTATCCCTCAAGAGTCGGCAAATTAGTACCAAACTTGTCTGAGAGGATAGCAGCACTGGCTCGACACATCGGTAGGCCGCTGCGAGTCATTGTGAAGGCCAGATATGCATCCAGTAACCTCCAACGATGCTTAATGAAGTCGAATGCATGGTGAATCCCTCAAGGATTGATCAAAGTCGAGGCTTTACGCTTTATCCTTTTAACGAAATGAAATCACTAGCAGTAAAGTGGAAGTTGTTTAAAACTTTTGAGAAACATTTAACTCACATTTCACTAAAAGAACTTAGGTTTTTGTAGGAAATTTTTATGCAAGAAAGTTCGTAAAGGAAAGTAAGTCAGTTAATTCAACATATAGCCACTTAGGTATTGCCTAGGTTTCGGCAGTTGACACTTAACAATGCTTTTATGTTTATTTTCAGGGTTTCTGAACTGAATATTGGATCAGTTCAACAGATAAAGGAACAACGCCATCGAACCGTGAGTGTTATATTCTATTGTTTCATTACAATCGTTAACTTTTGCTAATCAATATGTATTCTTTCTGTGATAAGCTTACAAGAGCTCACATGAGCATCGCCTGACGATTATGCCTCATTCGAAAGATGCTTCATTAAAGTAGATTCGGCTCGATGTGGGATGAAGACACCACAGCGAGAAGACGAACAACTGTGGACCGCCGACGCGGATCATCGGCTCTGATGAAACGAAGACGTGGAAACGTTCGCCGAAGGATTATATATCAACTTGGTGTAAGCTTATCAAGCAAAGAATACGTATTGATTACCGAGGTTGAAGGAAAGTCGGTTTCGAAATATTGCTAACAAACAATATGACTTGTTATTTTGAATAATTATATCTAACGATGAGCTTATAGAATCCTGATTATGAAGCGAATTGTGTCATGAGAGTGTTGCAGACCTGGTTACCAAAGTGTTGTGGATTTCTCAGGTGGTTTTCTATGTTTCTTAAGCCACTTCCTTCTTTTTCTACTCAAGGTATGTAGAATCTGTTAGTAAATAAAACAGCCGAAAACTTATTTGTTAGTACGTGCAAGTTAGATTTTGGCCATGGGTACATGCTTCGTTTAACCAAAACAATTTAATCAATATCTGTTGAACACATAGCTTTACCATCCTCATGACGTACCATAGAGGCCAATTGTTGCCTTCCAGATGTCTTCGTTTGTTCGTTTTCGTTCAAATGGATGCTCGACTATCTCTGCTTGTGGCAAAATGTCCATTTCTTTCCCACATTTCTCTATGCAGAGTAAGCTTTCCCCTAGCGAGGAGAAGCGTTTAATCTGATTCAAATTTGTTCTCAGGTCAGTGTGATTGAGCATCCGGTCTTTAATGGAGTTGAGTCATTTGAATTCAATGGTTGTGGGATGGCTCACACAGAACAGGATCTACAAGTTGCTAAGGTAGCCACTACAAAATAATTCGCTTAAGATTTTCATGTCTGCTAACATTTCAGAATTTGGTAAAATGTTTTCCAAACTTGAAGATTGTAGCTTTTCGAGAAGTGTGCTTTGAGCCGGTTATGACGTCTGTGATTAGGTTTGTCTAGCATGTCTATAAAGCACTGTAATGTTACCACTTACTCTGATACTTGGATGGCACGTCCTCACTGGTTGTGCGGGCCTCAGCATAATCTCTATTTTTACGGAGTTTTGCTGATTTAGCCATCGTAGTTCCTTGGAGTGCCGAGGCCAGTCAAGGAAAAGTCTGCCTCAGATCGACACCACCACAAGCAGCCGCCGTCCTTATGGATCAGACGGAGATATGCCACCATGCGACTAGTTTGATATCTGGATGGTGGTGGATCCTGCCATTGGTTTACTCTTACCTGGGCTTCCTGATGGAAACGCCGGACTTCTCAGCCTGGGAGACCCTGCTGGAGGATAAATCCCCCTGCTGTACATCGCAGTCCGACACCCAGGAACACCTCCCAGCCACGATGAGGCGGTAAACCGTTAGGAGGTAATGTTAATTTAGTAGTATGGAATGGTGATATAATACGAAATAGGCTTGATAAAGTAGTTTGCAATGTCAACAATACTTTCCAAAGTCTTTTTTTTTCTCCTGAAATCACCGTGTATGTTGGTCATCTGGCTCAGTTCTCACTATGCTGTCATTGCAGACACCTGACATTAACCGGACGGAGATTTCAACTATATCAGAATATTTCTCTTCAACAGTAAGTGTTATTATTTTTATCTTTAGAGAAAGGCGAAACGAAGGACTGATATGGTGTGGTGGTGAACGCGTTAGTTCCCGCAAAGAGTAATAGCGTGTTAGTTCCCCATCGCAGACACCAACGGTTCGGAGTTTTGCAGATATCTCAGCATCATTACGATTATATTTCACGTAATACCTTGCCATTAAAAAAATAGGCAGTATATAAACAAGTATTGGTATTTTCAATGTTTGATGAACAACAAATATTTTGGGCTAAATTTAATTCTCTTTTTACAACTTGAAGTAACACCGTTTGCTGGTCGTTTTGTAATATTTTGAGGTCAAAACATTCTGTTTTGCTTAATAATTAAGCATGTTGATCCTCAAACGGTGACTGAAACGCTATCACTTTTATGGATGTTCTCTAGTTTACAGTCGTCTGCGGGAAGCTTTTGTCTATTGTCTTTCGTAACCTTCTAGATATTTCTTTTAGAACTTAGTTGTTCTAGTTCCCAGGATCGACTTTCTATTAACCTCAGCACTGGAATATGAATGTGTCGTTTTCTTGTTCAGCAATCGCGAGGTTTTTAAACAGCATACATTTACTTCCATAGAAAAACAATACAATACAACACTAGTTTTTCGGTAGTATCGCCTTCTTCAGAGCCTGGAAGGGTATACTGATATACAATCTACTAGGCCAAACGCTTCAATAACACTTACAAAAAGACGAAAAACTCTTTGGTAATTACATGATCAACAACTTCTCGAAAAAACCCACCGTTTTTTCGTTACTTCCAATGAGGAAGTTTAGAACAGCTGGTTATAGTCGCATGTGGTTGACGACTGCACCATCCCACATCAGAAATTGATGCGAACATACGGGATCAGGTCGCGTATGACCTCCGGGCATTCATCTCTGCTATTCATTGTAGGGTTTTTGGCATTTATCCAAAAAGCCTCAAGGAGTTTTCGCGCCGGTGTTTTGGACTCCTGTGCAAGGATATTGACTTTTAGTTCAAAATCGTCTCCGCTATGCTTTTGTATCCTATGCGTGCCTAGTGGGTGTGCTTCGTCTTAGTTTTCGTTTGCCATCTAGGTGTTCTTTTATACGGATACACAAAGGTCTGCCCGTTTCGCCAATATATTCATCTCCGCAATTATTACACGAGATCAGGTATATCGTACCTGAACTCATGCAATCACCGTCCCTGCCGTAAGGGCAAATTACGCAATTTGTTGTTTCACACAGACGGTCATACAGGCGGTTGCGAACTAATTGGCGACGTAGAGTAGTCGGTGGTATTTCAACTATCGCTACCGATTCCTCTGGACCTGCTCTTCTTAAGCATCGTTTTATAGCTGCGCTTACTTCATCGCTTATAAAAGGCAACATAAACGGGACTTTCTTTTGGCCTTACGGCAGGGACGGTGATTGCATGAGTTCAGGTACGATATACCTGATCTCGTGTAATAATTGCGGAGATGAATATATTGGCGAAACGGGCAGACCTTTGTGTATCCGTATAAAAGAACACCTAGATGGCAAACGAAAACTAAGACGAAGCACCCCACTTGGCACGCATAGTATACAAAAGCATAGCGGAGACGACTTTGAAGTAGAAGTCAATATCCTTGCACAGGAGTCCAAAACACCAGCGCGAAAACTCCTGGAGGCTTTTTGGATAAATGCCAAAAACCCTGCAATGAATAGCAGAGATGAATGTCCGGAGGTCATACGCGACCTGATCCCGTATGTTCGCATCGATTTTTGATGTGGGATGGTGCAGTCGTCAACCACATGCGACTATAATCAGCTGTTCTAAACTTCCTCATTGGAAGTCATGAAAAAACGGTGGGTTTTTTTCGAGAAGTTGTTGATCATGTAATTACCGAAGAGTTTTTCGTCTTTTTGTAAGTGTTATTGAAGCGTTTGGCCTAGTAGATTTGGCCAGTATACCCTTCCAGGCTCTGAAGAAGGTGATACCGCCGAAACGTCAGCTAGCGTTGTATTGTATTGTGTTTTTCTATGGAAGTAAATGTTAGTTGTTCTAATTAATAAAGTATGTTTTCCATTCATATTTCTAGCTTTATAAGATCCAGATTCTTGATAGGAGAAGTGCGTTTTTTGAAATCTAAAGCAACTACACAGTTTGCCAACTACTGCCTTCTGGTATTTTTCCTTACTTAAAGACCATAACAAAGTCTGTTAGGGAATAAGTCAATCTACTTTTTATTTGAAAATGAGAAATGTATCAACATAATATCCCAGGTTTGCAAGTCTGGTGAAGTCCACATTCATGGCGCGACCAGGGAAAGAGGACGATTGTGTGGAATTTGTGAATGAACGGTATGGCACATGTCTCGTTGTTTACGACAGTCGCCGTGTGTATCATACTCCGTTCTGAAGGCTCAACCTGACTTGGTAATATAGCAGATTTTAATGAACTATTGCTTGTAACCTTCTACACACCCAGTTTTTGCGTCCTGAAGTCCCTTATAGGAAGATAATGTTACATTATATTACTAGTTTGTTATTATTTGTTACTATTAGATTGTTGTTCGAACAAGTTTTTTTCAACTCTCAATACAGTGTGAGTGAGTATAAATAAAGCTGGTTTTTGGCCAAAGGTTAAGCGATAAAAGATAAAGCTCTCGGCGTTGCTCAACCTCTGAGGGATGCGCCGCGCATTCAACTTCGATTGAATGGATATTTGGCCTTTGCAGTGACTCGCGGTGGCCTACCGTTGTATCGAGCCATCGCTGCTATCCTCCCTGACAGATCTGCTACTAATTTTCCGAGCCCGGAGGGATCGAAGGCTTGGTGAGGCTTGGCCGCAGGGATTGATCCCATGTGTATTGCAGGGCACATCCGACTACTGTGCCACATGCCTTCCTGGTTTTTGACTAAAATATAGAATTCTCTGCTTATGCCTTAAGATTTTTCTTGTTATAACATGATGTAATTCTGATTTTCTGGAGTCCATAACTTTTTTCCATACCTCCGGGGTCGGCATATTGGTACCAGACATGTCTGCTTGGATTGCAACACTGGGTCGATACATCGGTAAGTATTGAAGTCAAATGGATGACCGATCCCTAAGAGACTGATCAACATCGAGAGCTTTATCCTTTTTTTATGGTATAGAAATTGTGTATGCGACTGATGCGATAGAACAAAGTCACTTTTACAGATCTTTGAGGTTCTAGATTTCTGAAACACTCTAATAGTCGAAAAATTGTCAATTATCGAGAGATCAGCTCTGTCGCCAAAGGGTTAAAATGGTGTATCTGGGCACAAATTTGAAATTTTTATTAACAAGAATAACCGTTGAAACCTATGGAATGGTACATTGGGGAATATATACCATCTAAATATGGGACACCGGCTGGACGATCCCACTTTTCCTGTTGCTCCCCTGTTCAACATATGAACCTTGTTGGAGAAGTACGTCTTGTGGAGTCCAGAAAACCAGAATTTTGTTACAAAACAAAATAGCATGTGCCTGGTCGGTAAAGATCTCTGTTTGTGCTTGTTTGTTAAGCTGGAAAAGTTTGCCATAAATTTGTACCGATTTGCCTGACTTTGGGAACAGCTTCGCACCATACGTATTGAAACCAATGCGCGACGTTTTGTGTATGTCAAAGAGTATCTGAAGTGAACAAAATCGAATTTAGCTCATAGTGTGTGAACAATACACGGACTACCTTACTCTATCAAAGTAGGTGTACGGTTTTGAGGAAGTTTAAGTACTCAAACAAGTCCGTGCTCTTCATCGACAATGTAATTTATAGGCATTATTAGTAATTCTTTGTTATTTTTGTCCATTACTAACTTGTATACTTGAATGGTCCGTCTTCACTGACTGTGCTTGCCTCAGCATAATTTCAATTTTTCGGAGTTTTGCTGGTTTAGCCATTGTGCTTCGCTGGAGTCCCGAGATCAACATAGCCAAGTTTGCCCAACGTCGTCACCACCACAGGCAATCGCCGCCCTTGTCGATCAGAGGGAGATTTTCCACCATGAGACTAATTTGATACCAGGACGATTGTGGATTCTGGTATTGGTTTACTCTTAGCTGGATTTCTTGATAGAAACGCCCGACTCCTTCTCAGCTCAGGAGGCTCTATTGGGGTGATGAGTGCCCCCGCTCTACATCGCAACTCGACGCCCAGGAACACCTACCGGCCACGATGAGGCGGTAAATCGTTGGGAGGCGGTTTAATCCCAATATCGCAAGGTATTAGGAGTATCCGACCTGCCACTTGTAGTTGTGTCGACTTCATTATTATTGTGTATGCACTACTTCATTGGTTTTTGTACGTAGTGTGACAGTGAGTTGAAATGTCGTACATAGAACTAGATCCCAAGCTTACTTACCACTTGGTACCACAGCTTACACTGCAACAGAATAGCAACGTACTTAGTTTCATACTTGTACACTTGGATGATCTGTCCTCACTGGTTGTACGGGCCCCAGCATAATCACCACTTTTCGGAGACTTGCTGGTTAAGCCACTGTGGTTCCCTGGAGTCCTGAGGTAACCCTGGCCAAAGTCTGCCCCAGGTCTTCACCACCACAAGCAGTCGCAGCGCTTGTGGATTAGAGGGAGACTTGCCACCATGCGAATTTGATACCAGGATGGTGGTGGATCCCCGTATTGGTTTTTTGCCCATTTGGCGTTGATCCCAAGCGTTTATAAAAATTAGGAGGGATGTTGTCGTGACGTCCCTTCCGTGTATGCACATCGCGTTCATATTCATGTTTTGTCTGCTTTGCCAACTAGCGCCACGTAAACGATGGGAGATGTTGTTGTCGTCTGCACTATACATAGGAAGTAGTCCAGTCCTGAGATTTTTAAGAATATTATTTATTTTCTATTAATGTAACGCAAGAAATTCGAATAGTTGTGTATGGCACAATCGCAGCACGTTCGAAGGTCGATGGAGACGAGCCGCCATTTTGGACACTGATCCGTGCCCTCGTTGTGCAGAATCTGAAACTATTCGATGTTTTATACACTTATGTTTTAGGAAGAACTATTTTCTGGAATATTCCTAAGAACAGAACTCCTGGATTTTCTGGATTTAATCGCACTACACATTCTCTCCGAAATGCTGGCAAGCTTTTATGCATTAAAGTACTCACGCACCTCTGTTGTACTGAGTTATTAAATATTATTTTAATATTTGTGTGACATTAACAACCTCCTTAGAACTACAGCAACGACGCTGAGATGTTCGCAAAACTTGGAACCCGAGCCAGATCGAACCACAATTTTCCTTTCTGGGGATTCACGCATTACATACTGGTCTACGGAGGCCCTTGCTCTCCGCTTCTCTCAGCTAGTTTTCAACTTGTCGCTGCCATCAGCAATCACTCGTCAGCGAGATAATCTGTTTAGAAATACAACAACAAGTATGCTGAGATATGAGCACAATTCGGAAGCTCGGTTTGGCTTTGAACCAACGATTACCGTTTCAGGCCGCTCACGTGCCATCCACTGCACCAACCGAGACCCTTAGATTACCTTTCTCTCAGCCAGTTTTTCATTCTAATGGCGCTGTCAGCAATCACTCGTTAACATCAATGATCTGGGAGGGAAGCTGAAGCTGCAGTCAAAATCACAAAGTTTAACTAATATTTACTGCCTTATTTGCGAGGTCGAAGCTCAATTGAGGTTCCGAGTTTTGCTCATCTCTTAGCACCTTTGTGGTTGTATTTCACGTAATATTCTGCTATGAAAAAAAGAATAAGTCAGTGAGGAGGAGTTAGACAATCTGCTTAGAATAAGCATAAAGAATTTACATTATGACCATCGATTAAACAACCTTCAGAGGTAGGAATCGTTGTGCACATCTTCCATCCCCACGAACACAAGTGCTTTCACCGCAGATCACTTCGTTTAGAATACGTGGGAAGTAGGTACGAGGAAGATGACGGACGGCACGACAAGATGAACACAGATGGTACCTGAATGAGAGAGTTATAGTTAGAAAACGAGTGTCCATAGTAATATCTGTTTCGAAAGGCTGCTTCTGCTCCACTAAGTTTGCTCCACACGTTATTGGAATTTTAGCAGCGACTATAATATCAGAGAGTTCCTTAAACTGTTAACTAGTGATTTTTGGTGTTCATAGCTTAAGGCGCCCGATTTCGTTGCTATCATGCTGGGCCAGAATCAATGCACATTGTCCGCTGTGCCCCAACCCCATCCCTCACAAAAAAGAGGATCGATCATTATTAGCAATAATTCTACGCTATTCTTTTCGCACAAAAGCAACTATCTTTTGCGAAGCGCATGCATTTTCATTTCAGCACCAAATACTTCCTGGTTAAGCCCGTCATCTGTGACTCTCGACTGCAAGGATATCTTTGTGCCTACATCACCAGCAAAACTCTCCATTAATTAACGAACAAACTCGTCCGAGAAACGGCTGCTTGTGAATTATCACGTGTAGAATAGAACATTCCCGAACCACACCTAGGACAACATCTGCTGGTGGGAGGCCATCGATTTAATACAAAAAGTTTAGCGAAACATTCTTTGCGACGAGATAAACATCGTAAATCAGATGCACCGTCCCAACGTCGAGTGGTTGTCACGGCTTCAACCAGAGTGTCATTTATTTTAACATACTGAATTGTCGTGATTAGTCTAATAAGGTCGATTTCTAAAGAAAATCAGGTATGCTCTTCTTTTGTGTTCTGCCAATGGGAGAAGCACTTTCGTCCCCATTTGTTATCTGCAATTTGTGTAACAAAGGGCGGATGGAACAGTGGTAGCGATGTCTGTCATCACGAACATGGTGTGAGTTCGATTTTGTTCTGGGCCAACCAAACCTCTTATCATTCCGGAGTCGGGAAATCGCTATCGGACTTGTCCAGGAAAAAAACACTCTCTGCGATCCAGTTGGGAACGGTGCAGCACGGCTATCTCAGAACTCCAGGGAGAATCGACACGACCAGCATTCTGCGACATTCAAGATGAAATGAAAGTCCTCAAGCAGTAGTTGAAGCCACACGTAGAAGTTGGAAGATCTTTGTGGACGATGGATTCGAGGAAACGAACTGGGTGTAAAAAGTGCTGGGATCCTTACAGTAGACGTGAAGACGGGTCAAAATAAAATAAAATAAAATAAATAGATCTACCAACACACTTGCTACTTAGTTGTGTCAATTTCTACCAACCTCTGATATGCATGCGATAGGTCTAGCACTACTTTCCAGATAGTCAAATGTGGACTAGAGAATATACTTTCTATTTTTTATTTTATTTCATTTGACCCGTCTTCACGTCTACCGTGCGGATCCCAGCACTTCTCACATTCAATTCGTTCCCTCTCATCTACCATCCACGAAGATCTTCCAACTTTACGTGTGGCTTCCGTTTCTACTTGAGGATTTTCATTTCATCTTCAATGTCGTAGAGTGCTAGTCGAGCAATTCTCCCTGGAGTCCTGAGATAGCCGTGGTGGAGCATTCCCAACTGGATTTCACAGAGCGATTTTTTCCCAAAGAAGTTCGGCCAATTTCCCGATCTCGAATGGATGAACGGCTTTGTTGGTCCGGTGCGGAATCGAACTAGTACCATGCTCATGTTGACGGGCATCACATCCACTGTGCTATCCTCCCCTTAGAGAAAATGTTATAAGCAATAGAAGGAAAGGAGTATCTGTGAAGAGGCCAGGAGAGTACTATCAATGGCTAAATAGAAAGTGGTTCCAGCTTTCTATAGATTTCTGGTCTATGAGCAGAGCCTGTTATTCATCCTTCCAGTGATCAACATCCCCATCGAATTGAATCGAATCCAATGTAGTCGAGTCGAGTCGGTGCTGCTGTTCAGTGAACTTTGATGGCAGGTCTCATTGACTATAAGCGGGTCGCTGCTGTATTAAAGTGAAGAAGATGGATGTGACAGGAAAGGTTGTTGTTTTGAAAGAGAAAAGAAAGAAGAAAGAGACTGTTTCTTTCGATGGGCAACGATCTTACAAAAAACAAAATCAACGTCGGAAAGAATGCATCAAATCGATGCAGGTTCCACTAAACATCGCCATCTCAAAAGTGGGAAGGATCGATCGAACACTGCAGTGCTCAAACAGATAGTACTTAGTGGGAATTTGATGATGCTCAGATAACACGTATAATTTTAACCGTAAGCGTGATAAGTCAATACGAACTAGCGACGGTACCATTATTTCTTTGTTCATCTCCTTTTGGACGGCGATTCCTCACAAATGGTTCTTTGTTAGAAACGCTGGGAGCAACAACGCATTTTCCATTCGAGAGTTTCTTGGAAAATCATTGTAACTGGTGAGACGCTGGACTGCTTCGAGCATAACGGCGGCTGCGAACCCAGTTCGTGAGTCGGAAATCGCTAGTTGACGAGTGCCACGAACACGTTTGCTTATCAAGTAGGCGATCGTCTCAGAAGTAGCTTTCATTGTCTTGCAGTCCGCTCCACAGTTTTGTTGGTCCACCCGTTATCTTCCCTTTTTATCATACAGTCCACCATCAAAGCTTACAGATGAGACAATTCTCTCTCATGGTTGGGTTCCACTGTAATGGATACGTTTAAAGAAATACAAAACCACCAATGATAAGCTTCAAATGGATTAGAAAGAGCGATACGGTTGCACGATTTCAGAGCAACTACGACTCCAGTATTAGTAGAGAATCCTATAATCAAACGATGAGCGACAGGGCGCGCGTGCCGCAGTGGTCGGAGGCACTCTGCAACACACGTGGAATCGATCCCCACGCCCATGGCCCACCAAGTCTACCATCCCTCCAGGATCGGCAAATTGGTACCAGACTTGTTTGGGAGGATAGAAGCACTGCCTCGCTACATCAGTAGGCCACTGCGAGTCATTGTAAAGGCCAGATATGCATTCAATCACCTCTAAACGATGCTGAATGAAGTTGAATGCATGGCGCATCCCTCAGGGATTGATCAACGCGGAGAGCCTTATGCTTTATCCTTTTATGATGAGTGACAAATTTTTTCAATCAACTTTTCAGTCTTCTTCCTCCTCACTAGTACTAATAGTTGTCACTACGTCTCCGAATAAAATTAGGATGGTTCGGATTCCAAATTTATAATTTCTTCCTAAACAACACAGCCTACGGTGTGAATTCCATAAACTCGGCGTCCATGTGGATGGAATGAGCTCTATAACGGTCCTTTTCATTCCTATGATTTATCTTGGTGCATTGAAACTTTCCCTAAACTTCTTGTAAACAATCCAAAGCTCGTTCAACACAGCTACTGTGGCGGACGTCGGCCAGGAAAAGCTCTATTCTGCACTTAGAAACATACAAAAACTTCTTCTTGAACGAGTTCACTGACTGAGAGTTGACTGTTACTTCAGTTCTAATCGCTAGTATTTCAAAAAACAAAAAACGACAAAATATAGTCATAGCATACTCCGTAAAACTTTTCCGAATGATGACAGAAATACGATTATATGATGGACCATAGTAATATACAGCATGTAACAGTTGCATACACATCATTCACACCCATAGAGAATGGAACAAAGTCTCTCCTACAGTAACGTCATGATTAAAGCCCCTCAAGTCCTGTAGTTAGCGGAAAATTACTGTTAAAAAGCCGACAAGTCCGTAAAGGCTGGAAATTAGACCCGTCGCAAACGGCAGGGACACTAGGAGCTGCGAGGGCGTTGTATTTTAATCGATACCTGTAGCGTTTTGGGTAGAGGGTAGAGGGGCTCTGCAACACACACGTGTGGTCGTCGGTTCAATCCTGGACTCCGAACCCGTGCAGGTTTTGGCGAATTGGTACCACGCATCTCTGAGAGAATCCAGCACTGACTTGATTTATGGGTAGACTTGATTCATCATAAGTTATTGTATGCGCCAAATATCTTTTAAACCACGTCCTCCATGCTTAACGAAGTCGATTGCGTGATTTATTCCCTAGGAATTCATCAGCACCAGATGATTCATCTTTTTTTCATTGTTATTCAGTTATTTACTGGCACAAATTGCTCAACCATTCCTGATAAACTCAGACCACCACAACAGACACCAACAAGCGGCTCTGATACATAAGGATGTTACGAGTGCCGAGTAGACTCACTCAATAGTTAAAAAGAATACAAGTGATACAAAGGTATCACCTTCTATTGAACATATTGGTAACAATGTGAAGCGTACATGACGTTACTGTGCAAACTGGCCGATGTGGATCATAAATAACTCATTATCCCTTCTGCTACTTACTTTGGCGCATTGAGTTTTTTGCCTTCTTTTCAATCATTCGATGACCATACAATGATGAATAGTTATTGAGGCGATGAATCGCTTCTGATGGCAGAAACAGTAGTGGCGTTAAAAAAAAAAAGAAAACAGAAACCTATCCAGCACGATTCTCTAGGGGCGTGGTGCGCGGGAAGCTCTCTTTCGCACTTAGAAATATAACAGAAATCTTTTCTCGAACGAGATCACTGGAAGGTAATTTGAGTAGCAATTGATTGTTATTTCAATTCCAATGGCTATGATGAATTATGGATAGAAGGGTGAAAGGATATAGCTCTCGGTGTTGATCAATTCTTAAGGGATGCGCCTTGCATTTGACTTCATTTTGGAGCATCGTTTGGAGGTGACTGAATGCATATCTGGCCTTTACAATGACTCGCGGTGGTCTACCGATGTATCGAGCCAGTGCTGCTATCCTCCCAGACAAGTCTGGTATCAATTTGCTGACCCCGGAGAGATGGATGGCTTGATGGGCCACGGGCACGTGGATCGATTCCACGTGTGTGTTGCAGGGTGCCTCCGACCAGTGCGCTACAAGCGCTCACACGCGATGAATCATGACTATCGTAGAATAAAGCTGTTTCTTATGCGAGTGCAAATTTATTTCTTAAGCATTATCTGCTAGGGTTATGAAAGTGTTTGGCCGGGTAGATCGCATCTCAATTGAACTCTTCCAGGTTCTGAGGAAGGCGAAACCGCCGAAACGTCAGCTATTGTATCCTAATAGGTTCTGTAATAACAACCTCGTGTCTGCTTGTTGAAGAAAAACATCGAATTATCGCAGAATAGGCGGGTACAAAAAATTAAAACCCCTTAATCCATGTTAGCGAGGGATTGCCGTCCATCTTCGAAAAACTAGTAAGTCCGTAATGACAGAAATTAGGCTTCATTTCATGCGCGAGCCACACAAAATGAGGCTTTGGCACCTGTAGGTTAAAGTTGCATCGGTTTCATCGAGACTAGTAAAACGAAACCGAGCAATTCATCAAAACTCTACGAAGTAACTTTCCAACAATTTCTGGAAAAATTCAACTTCTGACTGAGTGCAGATTATTTTTATGTCTATGACACTGAGAAAGCCTAGAAGAAAGATATGATGCTCAAGCAGTCTTTAGAGCGATAAGAACCCACTGGGCTACTCTTGCACACACGACAGGGAAAATGGAAGGTTTACTGGCGCTCGCTTGAGTCAGTCGACGATCAACGGGGCTACAGGTGATACATGTGATGACAGTGGTAAAGATACAAAGGTTAAAATGAATGACGGAAGCGAACGGAGGTATTTGAAGTTACCCTGATTGAAGATCGTCGTTGCGACATTCCAGAGCAATTGTCGTTCCTGAAAAAATTCAATTCGACAAAAAATTATTGTAGTGGGAAAATCCATGATTGACAAAAAACGAAAACTACCGACTATATCCCTTGCGAGACCCGAGTTTCTGGCCGTCAATTCGGCACTTGTACTTCGCTGTCTTCGCGGCGGAAGAAGCGCATCTCTTCTCAACTGATTTGCAAAAAAGCGATCAAATCTGCAACAAATCTTTTTTACGTCTTCCATAATCTTAAATACAAGTACAATTACAATAGATTTTGTCCCATACTCAGATATAATAGATAACATTGAACCCAAGCCTGCTGAAAATTTCGCTCCAGATTTCTCAACGCGTTACATATGGGAGAAATGATAAAGGATAAAGCTCTCGGCGTTGATCAATCCTTGAGGCATGCGCCATGCATTTGACTTCATTAAGCATCGCTGGAGGTGATTGAATGGCCTTTACACACGGTTGCCTACCCATGCATCGAGCCGGTGCTTCTATCCCCCCAGACAAGTCTGGTAACAATTTTCCGATACCGAAGGGATGACAGGTTTTGTGAACCTTGGGTGCAGTGATTGATTCTTTGTGTATTGCAGCGCGCCTCCGACCACTGCGCTACACACGCCGTTTACATATGGGAGGCTTTCATTTTGAAAGATTCTTTTTATTTTTTTATTTGATCCGTCATCACATCTGCTATGCGGATCCCAGCACTTCTCGTGTTCGATTCGTTTTCCTTGCATTCATCGTCCAGGACTGCAACTTGAGGATTTCGTCTTCTTTATGAAAGCTATAGAGTGCTGGGTCGATTCCCCTTGCAGTCCAGAAGATAGCCGGTCTAAGGTATTCCCACGTTTACTGCAGGAGAGTTTCTGGGAAGGGTAGACATAGTACTTTAGATTCCTCATTTCCTGATCGACGACATCATTGAACACTAAGCTACTCCGCCTCTCCCATTTTAAAAGTTAATAAAAAGTGTTTGGTCCGATATAAAGAAAAGTGAAAGGAAATGAATGAGCTAAAAAGTGGAGACGAAAAACTTAAGTGAACAACAAACAATTTCATTTCCAGCTAATTGTTTACTCTTTTTTTTTCAAACCTTAGGAGGAACGTAGTGGGTTATTACCTCTGCTTTATATTTTTATCACTTTGTCTTTATTATTATTTTCATTAGATCCGTGTAGCGCAGTAGTTAGAGGTGCCTCGAAATACATGTCCAATGGTTTCACCCCACGTCCCAAGCACACCAGACCTTCCGTCATTCCGGGATCATGAAATGGTACCTGACTTGTCTAGGAGGAAAAGCAGTGCCGATCTGATACACCAGTTGGCCTCTGAGAGCCACTGTATACGACAAATTTGCATTCAGTCACCTCTGCGGTAGTACGAATGGAGTAGAACGCATGTCACATCTCTGAGGACTGAACAACACCGAACTGTTTATCCTTCGTCTTAACTTTTATTTACAGCCCATTACCTTTTCTTGGTGTGATGGATACCACGTGAGTTTCCAGTAAGGGTAACCGAGAATTTGAAGCCCACTGTGGTTCCGAGTTTTCCTCATATTTCAGCGTTCTTTATCCTTTTTAATATCGTTATTAATATTATCGTTATTATCACAACCGTCATAATCGAAACTTCTGGAAGGACTCTTGCTTCATTGTGGCAGGCTGTATAAAAATGTTAGAGCGTTCACCAACCACGACTGGTCCCTTGCCCACTAACCGAAAGAAGTACGACATTTCCATCTAGTAGACCAGCAGTGAGCAAAGGAGGGCAAAGAATCATTGCCGTCTTGGCACGAAACTAGTCATTAGGTGACATAATGTGGCAAATACCACTGAATGGTTAGCAATTGCTTGTTCTGACGAACTGGAGAAACTCTTAAATGGCTCTCTCGGGCTCCTAGGTGAGAAACGACTCTATTAGTTTCCGAACGCGCTGGAGACGTCTAATAGTCAGTCATCTAGTTCAAGATTGCTATGATCACTTCGTGTACTTACTCCTTCTGCTCCGATTGCTTGTCGAACTGTTCCACGTGATCGCCACCTATTTCATCCATCTCTCGCAGCAAATTTTGAAGACTCTTTTCCAGTTCATGAAGCCGCTGACTTTTCGATTTAGAAGTGAAACTTCTTCTAGAACAATAACAACTTTAATTTTTATTCCTTTTTTAGCGCTGCAAATTAACAGCTATAAAGTTATCAAGATGAACAAAATACAACCACAACGTTGCTGAGATATTTGCAAAACTCTGGACCGCAGGTGTCTATGGTGGGGAACGAACGCGCTAT